GTGAAGCTGAACAATTTATCAACAATATAAATTAAGTAGCAGTGGCTTATAATACAAAATGTGAAATAAACACCCATGAGTGATACCACTCTACCCTTATTAGAATAGCCAAGTTTAGAACTCTGACAATACCAAACACTGGTGAAGATGTGGAGAAATGGGATGTCTCTTTCATTGTTGGTGGGAATGCAAAATAAGGAAGCATTTTTAAAGAAATTTTGCTAATTTCTTACAAAACTAAACATACTCTCAACATGTTTACCAAAAGGTGTTCAAAATTATGTCCACATATATACAAATTGCATATAGATATTTATAAAATTTTATTTACTGTTGTCAAAACTTGGAAGTGGCTAGATGCCAGTGTGTTAATGGATAAACTGTGGTGTGTCAAGATAGTGAAATATTATTCAGTGCTGAAAAATGGAATGAACTATGGAGCAATGAAAATAACTGGAAGAAACAATGTATATTACTAAGTAAAAGAAACTGATCTGAAAATTCTGCACACTGTATGATTTTAATTATATGGCATTGTGGAAAAGACAAACCTCTGGAGACAATAAAAACATAAATGCTCACTAGAATTGTACATGTGATACCACAATGATGGATACCAGCCATTGTAGATTTGTTCAGACTCATAGAAGGTTGGACATCAAGAATGAACCTTAATGTAAACGATGGACTTTAGGTGATAATAATGTGTCAATTATGGGTTCATCAGTTGCATAAAATATACCACACATATTGATAGTGGGGAAGACCATCTATATGTGGGTCAAAGCAGTATATGTGATATCTCTGCACCTCCTCAATTATGCTATGAAACTAAAACTGCTCTAAAAGAACAAAATCTTGAAGCAAGTGAGATGGTTGCATTGTAGCATTCTCCTGTTCTGGTTTGTTGATTTTTCTACCTTATCCAATTCAAATATAGTATTTTCATCAACAATACAACATAATTGGCGTTTTGCTCCCACTGAATTGCATTAGGAAAGAGTAGATGCCAGCTTCTCCCAGTGGTAGTGATGATGTTAACTTTGATCTCTTGCTTAAGATGATGCCTGCCAGGTTCCTTCACTGTGGAGTTAACATTTCTTCTTTGTAATTTATAAGTAATATGTTCTTAAATATTTTCAAGTGTTATAAATATCCCAGTGCTCTTTAAACTTTTATCTAGTGATTTTAACATGTATCTATTTTTCTAGTTACATAATTTTTCCTACATTTACTTCTAGTCTGAGAAGAGATCTCCTACTCATTTTATTTATTCATGCAGTGTACTAAATAAATTTGAATAAATAATGTGTTTCACAGACATACAACATCCTGTACATGAGATTAAACTAGTTTTTCAAGAAGAAAGGAACAGAAAGTATTAAAGAAAGACATGAAAAGAAATGACTCCTAACGCAAAGCAAGTATGTGGACAGAGGAGCCCTTTTGAAAGCGGCAAAATGCAACTGGCATAGTAAGTAGTCAGGAAGCACAATTTTTCAAGGAGTATTCGGCTGTTTGAAAGTTTTAAAGAATGATCATACCATAAAATTAGTGATTCTGTTTATGTAATAGAGCTGCTCTGCATTTGCCCAAGTAAATAGATAGATTTATGGACATGAAAACATATTTAGGAGAATCATCAGCAGAATGAGTAATAAATGATTAATTAGCCTTAGACTGATTCTCCAAGAGCTAGAGTGGTGAAATAGAGGAAATGGTTGTACTAAGGGTACAATGGGTAGAACTAAGTGCTTTATTTTTTAAGATAAGAAAAAAGGTAAGTCTATAATCAGCTCCTAGGTGTCAGTAGAAGCGATGTATTGCTGAAAATTTTGAAGTAGGAGAGAAACACAGAAGCAAAGCACTATAAATGTATGTATAAACAATGGCTTCACACAATCTTGGGTCTCTAATTACATCACAAAGGAGGATGAGACTTGTAAAGATTGCACTAAAATATCCAATGAAAAAAACTATATATTTAAATAGTATACTATGTTCTATGTAGTGTTTTGTTTATATCATCATTTTTAAACACCATGCATACCTACTGGGGAAGACTATACTCTTATTTTGACCTAGGAGGAAGCTTCGTTTCTGAAAGTACAAACCATAAACTGTAGATTCAGAAGACTTAGGATTTTAGTCCACTTTGGGGGTAAATGATTGTGTGTACATTTATTTGCATGGCGGAATCATGGAAAATTGAATCTTCTTATTTTTCTTTAACAAATGAAATTAATCCTATATTTATAAAATAATGGAAATCACATTATAGAATTATATGATACATTCCATGCTTGCTTAATTATATCAAAATGTTATCTATTGTCATGTATAACTAAAATGAACCAACAACAACAACAACAAAATAGTGGATTGGAAGACATTCAAAATGACTAGAGGAGCTGGGCACACCAGCCTCTTTCTTTTGCTCCTTATGCTGAGTGTTTACCTCTGACCTGCCAGCTAACACTACTGTCAGTCATCCTTGCCCAGCTCTCCGGCAGATTGTACACTCTGCACACAGTGCGGTTTTCCTTCTTTTTATCTGTACTGTCTAGCACAGTGCTTTTTTATACAAGGTGTATTTGTTGAATATATGATAGAAGCAAGAAATAAAGCAAAAAAGTAATTTGAAGCAATGGCTCAGTGATTAAATCTAAGAGTCACATATATCCTGGTTGTCTTGATTTAAAAAGAAGCATTGATTTTAAACTTTGAAAATGAGATGTAGGTCCTGAGAATGTATTTTCATCAGAATATAAGTACAGGGTTCTGAACTGTGTCCCTGCCTATTTTAGAGGATTTTAGTAGATTAACAAGGCTGATGAAGGTAGCTCAGTTTTGCTAGGATTCAATACTTATTGAATATGGGAAAACACAATTTCCAAAATGATTCCAAATTAGAATCTATTACGGCAACTATTATAATTTTGGAGGAAGAGAATTGCATTTGCCTTCTAATCATTATTTTCAATAAAACAGTCTAGAGTTAAAATATGACAAAGAATCTGTTTGCCCTTTCCCAAGGCACGGCTGAGAAGAGAGGGATCATAATGAATCCACAAAAAGAACCTTAACATTATGTTTCATCTTCTTATACAGAGAAAGGTAGAGACTTCAGTTTACTTCTCAGTTGTCTTGATTTAAAAGGAAGCATGCAGTTTAAACTGTAAATTATGCCCTGAAAATATATTTTAATCAAGATATAAGTGAAGTGTTCAGAACTGTGTCTCTTCAATGACTTTCAGTGAAAAAAAAATGTAGAAATTTACCACAAGAATTAGCATTCTGATTTATACTAGTAAAGAAAAAAGGTAGACATTATAAGCAAAAATATATTTAATCTCACTGAGTGTGTTTTCTTAACACTGGTGTGTATCCTTGTAAAATGATAATGTGCTCTGGAAGGAGAGTTATCTAATGCATCCAAATTCACACTTGTAGTTAAGAATGTTTTTAGAAAGTGATGATCAATTAAGTAGCTATGTTGTTTATGTTAAATATATGCAAAATCTATTATATGGTGAGAAAATAGAAATGGCATTGCTAAATGAAATGTTTAGGTATTTTTAAATTTTTTTTATTTTTTTTAAATTTTTTTTTAATTTAAATACTATAAAATAGTCAAGGTTCTTCTCACAAATACTTAATTTGATATGCCCTGGTATAGATTTAAAGATCAATGTGTAAATAAAACTCTTAAAGAACAAAAGGGGATACATATTCAACTACAAATGAAAGCAATAAACTTTTTCAATTCCAAAATAAAAACTGAATGACCACTTGGCAATCCAAATGTTTCCAGAGTTATTTTTAAATGAGTGTATTAAAAATTATGATACTAAAATTCAAATACAATTGTAATTGAATTGTTACTATATTTCCTATTTTAATTTATTATCACAAAAAATAACCAAGATAACTTCATGTGTGTGTGTGTGTGTGTGTGTGTGTGTGTGTGTGTGTGTTTTGCTGGAGACTGAACCCAACGCCTTACACATACTGAGTAAGCACTCTCCCACTGATCTGTGTCCCTAGGCTCTCAGGATTCTAAAGATGTTACTCTGTAATGCCTCTGTCCTGGTTATTGACTCAAATACTAATCTAGGTACTGTGGAAAATTTGTTCAGGAATTTAATTAGTATAAGAATTTCACTACAGGTGCAATTAAAGTCACTAACTGATTTTAAAACAAGATTAATCTGGATAATATAGGGAGGCTATTGCAATTGCATGAGCCTGTAAAGATAAGAAATGAAGGTAATAGAACTTGAAAGACATGGCCAAAGAAGCAGTGAGAAGAAACTGATAGACATAAGTGGGAAGATCAATTAGATTGAAAGTATTAGAAGTAATGAAATTGGGGGGACTTTAGTTCTATAATTGTAAGAAAGTGAAATCTTCAACAGCCGGAATGATTCTCTTAATTGATGCCATGTCAGAAATGCTTCCTGACACATAGATTTCAACTTTGTAATACTCAAGTGAGCCTGCCAGGACTTTTGATCTGCAAAAACAGGGAAATAACAAATGTGTGTAGTTCTAATTTGCTAAATTGTTGGTGAGTTTTTAATGGCAACACTAGAAAATTAAAACAGTTACTATTTTATTCACACAGATGAGTTAATAGTAACAGTAATTTCTCAGGACAAATGCATGAAGTATTATATGACCTTTACCAGATTCACTCCTGTGTCAGGGAGTACATTTCCTAACTGGTTGTGTAATGTCTTTTTGAGAATATACAAGGGATGTTCTCATATGCCGTGAATTTTGACATCATTCTTTATGGGAAACATTGATGAATTAAAAATTTATCAAAGATTTGCATTGTGCTCAGAGAATAGTGACCTGAACATATTTGAAATTTTAAATACAACAATTTATATACTTGTCATCAATTAATGGATTCATTTATCAAGAATTTTAGGCTCCATCCTCTGCTCTTTGCTCTTCTGCTTGGTGTCTTTCCTTCTCAAAGTTGAATCGCTGCTGATTCTCAGATACAGAGCTTGAATGATATATCTGCATTTGTTCTCAACAAAACCTGGAAACAAGATGGAAGAAGAGAATGAACAGTGCAATAGTGTGATTGATGGTAATTTTGAAGAAGTTTGTCCTGAGAAAGTAATTAAGTTTAAACCTCCACTATACAAACAACGATACCAGTTTGTTAGAGATTTTGTGGATCAACATAAACCCAAGAAGGTTGCAGACCTGGGATGTGGTGACACAGAGCTCCTAAGGCTGCTGAAAATCTACCCATGTATTCAACGGCTTGTTGGAGTAGATATCGATAAGGAAAAATTGCAGTCAAATGGGCATCAGTTGTCTCCCTATTTGGGGGAGTTTGTAAAGCCCCGAGATCTGGATTTGACTGTTATCTTGTATCATGGCTCTGTTGTGGAGAGAGATTCTCGTTTGCTTGGATTTGACTTGATAACATGCATTGAATTAATAGAACATTTGGATTCAGATGATCTGGCTAGATTTCCCGAAGTAGTATTTGGGTACCTGTCTCCAGCCATGATTGTCATCAGCACACCAAACGCTGAATTCAACCCGCTATTTCCCACAGTGACCCTAAGAGATGCTGATCATAAATTTGAGTGGAACAGAATGGAGTTTCAGACCTGGTTTATAAGACCTCCTACCCGAGTTTACAGCAGGAGAAGATGCTCAAATTTGTATTGGTTGGGGAAGTGTTGATACTAGTGGAACGGCTGAGATTGAGACAGCAGCGAATGCTGCGAGAACAGAAGGACTTGTGCAGTGACCCAGACAACACTGACTCTTCTGGTCCGCCCSAAGTAGTGTTGGGAGCAGTCTTCACAGAGGCTGAAGAAGCCAGGATAGAGAATTCTCCAAAACCCTTCTGTGAAGGAGATAAGTTTTTTGTACCCCTGCAAAGACTCCTTGCTTATCCCAAAGTGCACCGCTTACGTGTGACTGAGGAGAGGATGAGATCACTCATCGCAGACTCGGTGCAGCTGAGCAGTGATGGTTCTGCAGTCATGGACGACCTGTATAAATCTTGGGATTATCAGTTTGAAGATTATTGAGCCATCTGCATTTCCTGAAGTTCAAGGACTCCGTGATAGTTGGGCTTACTTAGAATTTAAACTTTGTATTGTCATAATTCAAGTAACATTTTAAAAGTTTTAACACAAGACACTCCTAAACTGGTGGACAGATGCGCCTGACTGCACTTTACCTGAGAAAGGTTTTAGGGTTTAACTAAATGCAGTGTGTTTTCCTTTATAAGTTGGAATTTTTCTTTGTGTTCTCAAGAATGAAGAAATGGGATATGGTGATGTACTAATTTTGAACTCACCCTTTTTTTGGTGTTAGAGCCATGTGTTGAAGTAGCATTAAAATTTTTTTAAAGTGATCAAATACACTGTTCAAAACCTAAAAAAAAAGAATTTTAGAGTATGGTATAAAATAGGGAGTGGCAACCACAGAATATATCTTAGTTCATTTGGGTTTCAATAACAAAGTACTATAATCTGGGATTTTTATGAGCAACAGCTATTTCTCATAGTTCTGCAGATTGGGTAAAATGAAGGTGCAGACAAATTTGGTGTGTGGGGTAACTCATTAGCTCATAGAAAGTGCCTTCTCACCATGTCTTCAATTGGGGGAAAGGGCAAGAGTCTCTTGGGATCTCTTTAATAAGGGTAATGGTCCCATTCATGAGGGGAAGCACTCACAACCTTATCACTTTTTTATCACTCCCCTCTTAGTATCAGTACATAAGAATTCTGATTGCAGGGTAAAAACTTAGTGAGACATCTATATTCAGACTGTAGCAAACAGGTCAAAAATAAAAAACGTTTTCCTTAGTGTCTTTAACTGTATATCACCCTCAAAAATATGCTAAAAACAAAATTGTGAATAAAGAATTTCTCACCAAATGCCTGTTTGTTTGTTTTAAATCCCATAATCTGTCCCTTAGCAGACCTGCTTTAAACTCATAGATTTCTTATTTCCCATTAGGTGATATTAAACAAGATGTAGAACCTTTCCAGGATATGCTTTCCTCGTTAGTAAAATGCAGAATAATAGAGTCTCCTTCCCTGTGTTAGAAGGGTGAATTAAGGTCAAGGATATAAAGTGCTTAGAAGCAGCCTAAACATCCCACACATATTGTTGAAGGAATAAATGGTTAACATCATCATCAGATTATCTATTTTATAAAAATCACTGACCTATGACTGTCCTGTTTTCTATTGTCCTTTTACTATTGTCATTTACTTAATTCTTTTAATTTACACAGATGTAAATACAGCAGAGGTAGAAGTTTACATTGATTTCCTTTCACCTATTATATTGCTTTATATCTCTTATAAATTATTGATGAAATAGTATACCCTCAAGTTTCCAACCATTGTAATGATAGGATAATTTTAACTATTTGCAGTTAAAAAAAAAAGTCTGTGATAAAAATTTCTAAACATGTATAATTTTCTAATATATAGTGTTTCTAACTTTTAAAATTATAACCTTAAGGTAAATTGCTAAGAGTACAATTGATGTCTCTTAAAATATAATACTTGATTGCTTTCCCATCAGTGAGATGAATAATACTGCTAAAATCTTCTCTCAACTATGTGTGCTGTAATTTGCATTTTTTTCCCTTAAGGATTAGCTCTGTTACTTTAAATGAATTTGGTAAGTCTGTGACTCTTACATAAGTCTCATGATTATAACATACATTAATCATTTATAATTTTCTTATATATATTTAAACTCTTCTATATAAGCTATCCATATACTATACCTATCAACATTACAAAATTGTATCAGTGATTTTAACAAGTCTATTTTTCCTATATCAGTTACTTCTTCTTCTGTGAAAGTTTTACAGTTTTGTTTAGCCCAATTAGTATACCTTCTCCTCTAAGACTTATTAGTTATTTCAAAATGTAGACAATTATTACTGTCAAAATAATCCAATTAAACCTCAACTTTATTTTTTGCTTGTTCTTCTTTGTTTATCTTATGTCTCTTTATGTGACTCTATCAGTTCTGTCAAACAGAACTTGTTTTGATGATAAAAATGTTCTATATTTGTACTATCTAATGCATTGGTTATTAGCCCAAGTGGCTCTTGAATACTTCAAATGAGACTAATAGGTTTGTATTGAAACCCTTAATAAGGATACTCGTGGTACACAAAAACATGTGATTTGTTCTTTGATAATGCTAATGCTGTCATTTATTTTCCTCTTAAATTAGAAAACAAAATGCTTCATGGGCTGGTCATGTCTCAAATTATATAACTCAATATTTATTAACTCATAAAATTCTACATTTTCCTTCATTCCTCAACCATGTAGTGGAAATTTCAAGTTATTATGCTGCATAATATCTAATAAAAGATGAATGTTCTTTTCTATTTATTAGATATGTGCTGCTTTATGATTATGAATGTTCCCATGTTCTATAGTTATAAATGTGTATTCCTCATATGTATGTTAATATGTGCATATATTTATATATATTATACTGATTATTTATATATATATAGTGTATATATTAAGAGTAATGTATGTATATTTCTGAGCAAAAAAGGAAAAGTAGAGAGATCTCTTAATAATTCATAAATATTCTAGAGAAAGATTTCATTAAAAAGTAAGAACTGTTGTGAAGTGGGTATCATGTGTAGTATCAAGGATGAAGAGTGTCCAGCTATTTATACTGGGAGGAGGTAGAATTTTCCTATGTTGTAAGGAGAGCAGTCTGCCTGCCCAAGTGCTTTATCTCAGTAGATGGAATCTTTGAATGATCCTAATAAATCAACCATTAGAGCAAGATAAATTCTGAACAAGGGAAGAAATACCATCATTAAAATCTCCTCTTCCACTTTTTCATTAAGGAAGAGCACCTTATTGTTCCCCTTAGTTTGAGTAAACTTTTAAAGACATTTTTTTCCCTGATATTAGGCTCCTGACCCTCCTTTTCTTAGAGCACTTATTGTACAAAACTTGTAAATTCTATACCTAGTCCTTTGAGATGTAATTCTTTTCAAAGGCCTCTTGATGATTCTAGAGCCCAAGAATGTCTGGAAGCCATCTCACTGAACTGTGGTCATCAGGTGGACAGCTCTCTTATCTCCCAGTGTGTAAGACTGTAGTGGGCACATTGCTCCAAATAGTAAAGCTACTTTCAGTCACTATGCTATGAGAATGCTAATTTTTCCTCTAGGTAAACACAGTAGGCCAAGGTCTATGATCCTATTGACCCCTATTTGCCACCCAAACACCTCAAGCCTTAAAACCTATTTAGTCCTTTGTTTTAGTGAAAGCTGAGTTCAGACTGCATTCTGGATTATATTATCTTGAATATTATTGGCATCAGATCAATATTGGCATCAGATTCCCTCTTTTAGATTGGCAGTCATTTTATCTGGAGGCTCCAAAGTTTCGATTCTGAAGCAATGCTGCTTAACTTCCAGTAAGAACATGTGTCTGCTAAAGGATCAACCCCACCCCAGTTTATGATGCAACTTGTAAGCAGCTTATGAAATTCCTTTTGAGGGCTATAAAGTGGCTCTGGGATGCCCACACGCTGCTGCTGTCCTCGGAGGGAAAGCTTTGTTGATTTGCCTCATGCTACTGACAATAAATCTCCTCTGGGAAATTTCAGTGTGTGTGGAGTGGTCTTTGGACTTTGCGTGGACTCTATGACTGTTCTTTCAAATAAAGTCTTCCTTGCTTGTTTAAATATTTGGGGGTAATTTATGCTGTAAAGGTAAAATTTCTAAGCTAATTCTAAGCTGCAAGAGTCTGAGTTAAAGTGTAAAAGACTGGGCATTGTAAAGTTTCTAAATTGAAAGGCTTGGGCTAAAAAAAAAAATAATAGGCCAGGTATTGTTAAAATTCCTCTGCTACCCCCGGAACCTGTAATCTCTGTAGTTGTTAGGACAATACCTGAACTGCCCAGTAAATACTTCCATTGATTCCCTGGTTGTTTATTAGCTAAGGGCTCCAAGTAGCTCGGCACGTAAGCATCCAGGCTCCAAAACCAATCAGTTTAAATGTGTACCCCGCTTAGGAGTGACCAATCACCCCTGCCCAGACTGTTCCTGCCAATGAATGTACTAATCATGTCTCAGAGTTGTTGTTCAATTTTCCCGCGCCTCAAGATGATTTGTTCTGATGTATGCAAAGCCCCCCACCCTCTCCAAAAAGTGTACTTAAGCTCTGCTTGACCTCTGCTCTGGGCTCTGGGCTGCTCTCCCTTCCTGAGTGAGCCTTGAGCCCCAGCATGCTGGTTCAATAAATCCCCTTTTGCCAATTGCATGGAGCTAGTCTCTTGTGGTCTCTTCCTCCAACGTTTCGCCAGTCCCTTACAATGCTTTAAATTCGTCTTCCAATCTGCTTTCAATACATTGACAATATAATCATTTTAAATCCCAAGTCAGATCATGTGTCTTACTCAAAACCTGCAGTGGCTTACCTTCATTTAGAGAGAAAGCTGAAGTCTGCCCTTGGCCCTGCTGGACCAGGTCTGCAGTCTGTATGTCTAAACTCATTAACTCTCCTACAAATCAAGTTCTCTTCCAGTGGTAGCAYCATATATGAATTTCATATACAGAAACATAAAGGAGTAAATCTTGAACACCCCCCCCCCAATTTCAGTATCCAATCATGTCCCAAATCCTGTCGATTTTACCTTCTGATATCACTCAAAGCTGCCATATTTTTTTCCATTCACTATTACTCTTCTGTATAAGCTACATTGTCACATAGCTGAACTTTTGCTATGGCCTTCCAGTTCTCTTTTGAATTCCAGTTATAGCTCTGTACTATCCACCATTAACATGGTATAGGAGGAACTGGATCAATCTTGCAAATAGAAATCTGATCACTTCATAACCAAGTATAAACCTATTTTTGAGTTTCCATTGTTCTTTTGGTAATTTTTAAATTCTATAAAATGGCCTATAATGTCCAATTTAGTACCTGACTTTTGATTATCCATCACTTTTTCCTACAATTATTTATTGTCCTCTGGTTCCATCTTATCACATGGTCCTTGCAGCTGTTGCCAAAAGCTTGGTCCTTGTCCCCAATGCCAATTTAATAAGGAGAACACAGTTTTGAGAAAAAAAAAAAAAAAAAAAAAAGTTTTATTGCTTGCAGCAAAGGAGAAACCCAGGGGACTCCTGTCTCAAAGGCTGTGATTTTGCCCATCATCAGGAATGTGGGGCTTTTTAAAAGGTGACACAAAAGGGGGCTTTTAAAGAGGTGATTCAGACTACTGCATTCCACACGTTCTTTGTCTGGAGTTGTAATCCACTAGTTAATTTGGGAGATTGTCATTTCTGAGATCATCTGGCACCATCTCCAAAG